CATGGGGACGTAGGTGTGGAGTGGCTGAGGAGATCCGAGGCGGGGGCACCTTGCTGTGGGGAGACAGCGTCAGGTCCCTCTGCCCCGGTTCTCTCCATCCACAGGCATCTTCCCTGAGCCGGAGCGGGACCCGGTGATCCAGATCTGCTCACTGGGCCTGCGCTGGGGAGAGACGGAGCCCTTCCTGCGCCTGGCGCTCACCCTGCGACCCTGCGCCCCCATCCTGGGAGCCAGGGTGCAGAGCTACGACAGCGAAGAAGAATTGCTCCAGGTGACTCCTCACCCACAACGTTGCTCTCCGCTGCCCCCACACCTCACGTCCTGAGCCGTCCGGGGTGGCTCCTGGATGCCAAGATGCCCGTGCCCTTGGGGCTGGGTCTCTGCACTGAAGACAGACATTTCCCCGAGTCCTAAGGGGAGGTTCTAAGGCACGGGGTGGCCAGGGTGACCCTATGTGCTCCCACCCCCAGGCCTGGTCCACCTTCATCCGCACCATGGACCCCGACGTGATCACAGGCTACAACATTCAGAACTTCGACCTTCCGTACCTCATCTCTCGGGCCCAGACCCTCAAGGTGAGCTAAGGAGGGTAGGGATGCCTCCTCCGGGATGGCCCAGTTGGGGCCTCCCCACCCGCACTCTCTGCTCTGTCCTCCTGACGGCTGTCAATCTTGCTGTGTACCTGCAGCCCACTGTCTCCAGCGGCTGCAGAGGCAGCCTAGGCCTGGGTCCAGGCCTGCCCTGCTCATAGTCCAGAAAGCTGCTGTGGGTTTGTCATTGTGGAGGGTGTTGGGTTAAGTAAGAAAAGGCCCATGTGTGGGACCAGCAGATGGTGTAATGGTTATGTTGCTGGATTCCCATGTAGTGGACCGTAGTTCAGGTTCCAGACCCAGCAGCTTGAAACTCAGTGTCGGGCAACTGTGTGTGCATGCCTGAGATCCCGAGAGAAAAATGGAGAAGGGATTTCACCCCAGGGGGTGATTTCTCACTTTCTGCCTCTCTGTCTCTCTGGCAAGCACACATGCCCTATGGCAAGAATCTCTCGGGAAAAACAAAAAAGGCCCATGTGTTTGGAGGTGCATGTGGGGGGCGACAGGCCAGAGAACTGCCCTCTGGATGCAGGCCCTGCGCAAGGGGTGGGGAAACCTGCGTGAAGAGGGAAAAGAGCAGGGGAGGGGCTAGCCGCAGTGTGTGGCACATCCTGGCGCCGTCAGACACGGTGTGCATGCATCGGTGAGAGCCAGAGCCGCACTGCGCAGCACGCCGCGGGGGTGGGGCTGCAGACGGAGAGCCCGGCTCGCAGTTCTGGAGCCTGGAAAGTCCGAGATCAGTTGTCATCCCGGGCCGCGAGGGCGGGATCCGTCCTAGGCCTGTGTCCTTGGATTGCCAGTGCCAACTGCTCCCCGTGTCCTCCCACGTCCCTGTGTGTACGTGTGCCAGAACTTCCCCTTTTTCTGGGCACTCAGTCATACTAGATTAGGATCTACCCTAATAACCATCTTATCTCGGTGCCCCGCTAAGACTCTTATTTCCAGCGGAGGATGGAGGTGCCAGGGGTAGGACTTCAGCGCAGCCCATAGTGGGTTCCCTACTTGCCTACTCATCGGGTCAGCTTGTGGATACAAACAGCAGACTCTGTGGCCCCCACAGCTCCAGGGAGAAGCCCACCCGTCCCAGCGCGCATGACTCCTGGGCCACCGTCCCGCTTCCCCTCTGCCCTGCCCCAGCCCAGATTTCTCTCCGGCTTCCCTCGCCCAGCCTGCCTCTCCAGCCGTGCCCTGGCAACCTGAAAGGGCCCCTTGTCCTTCCCCAGCACCTACCGTCTCTGACTCTGATACCCCTACCTCCGGCTGCCTCCTGCCTCCACTCCCACCCAGAAAGCTCCCTGCAGAGCTTAGCATCTCCGTCTGCTTTCCTCCATCCCACCTGGCTACAGCCGCAGCCCCAGGCTCCATCCGCGCCCCCTCAGTCCCCGAACCTCCCTGACCCAGATTCATCCTCCCTGTAGACTTCCTCCCTGGCCTTTGCCTTCCTCCCAGCCCCCCAGCGCCACCTAGGGGGTGTCATGGTCTCAGCCCATTCCTATGTCCTATGATGTGGCCTGGGGACCCTGAGTCAGAAACTGGCCTGTCCTGGCCACAGCGGCACTCTGCCCACATGGCTGCTCCCCCAGGTGGAAGCCTTCCCCTTCCTGGGCCGTGTGGCTGGCCTGCGCTCCACCATCCGGGACTCGTCGTTCCAGTCCAAACAGACGGGCCGACGGGACAGCAAGGTGGTCAGCATGGTGGGCCGTGTGCAGATGGACATGCTGCAGCTGGGCGGGGAGACGGGACAGCGGGGTGGTCGGCGTGGTGGGCTGCGTGCAGATGGACATGTCGCGGGCTGGGCCGGGCCGGGCAGGTGGCCGTGTCCTGCCCCTAGAGGTGGCTCCTTGTGCCTGCACTCTGCCCAGGTGCTGCTGCGGGAGCACAAGCTGCGCTCCTACACGCTCAACGCCGTGAGCTTCCACTTCCTGGGCGAGCAGAAGGAGGACGTGCAGCACAGCATCATCACCGACCTGCAGGTGCCGCCCGGCCGCCCCTCCGTTTCTGAGACCGCTATCCTTGACCTGTTCCCCACGCCTTGTTCTGACCTCTGACCCTGATCTCTGCCCACACCCCTCGTCACTGTGACCTTCGCGCTGCCCCCTCCTCCCTCTGCCCTGTCCACTCCTGGCCTCCCGAGCGCTCTCAGTCCCACCCGGACCTGGCCTCCCGTGGCCTCCCCAGCCCCCCACCCTGTCGGTTCCTGTCCCCAGAACGGGAATGACCAGACCCGCCGCCGCCTGGCCGTGTACTGCCTCAAGGACGCCTT